TCTTCCTGTGGTCCTGCTGGGGTTGGAGCTGCTGGAGGTGCTGGAGCTGGAGGTGCTGCTGGAGCCGGTGCTCCTGTGGGTGCTGGAGTTGGCGCTACTGGAGTCGCTGGTGGTACTGCTGGAGCTGGTGGGGCTGCTGGAGTCGGAGCTGACGCTGGGGGTGCTGGTGCTGTCCCTGCTGGTTCTGGAGGTGCTGCGCGGCCACGGCCGTACTTCGTTCCGCTCCTTGAGCAGGTTCTTTGTCTTCCGCTTTCTACTGGTCCTGCTCCTTCCTTAGAGTGTCCACTGCCTGTCCAGTCCGAGTCACAGTTACAGCCCGCCTCTGCTCCTTCTCCCTACACTGGTCCTACTGGAGGTCTTGCTGAGCGTCGTGAGCCTGAGTCGCATGTTCGTGCTGCTCGCACTGGTCGTCGTTTTCCGCGTCAACGTCCTCCTGCGGTCCCGAGCACGCACCGGATGGCAGTGCGTCCTTCCACTGCTCCACAGCGTGTCCCTTTGCCGTCTCCTCCAGAGTCCTCTCTTCCTGCTCTTGCTGACCCAGAGTCTGACTCCCTTCGTGCTGCCAGTCATACTGTCACGCGTCTCCTGGCTACTGTTGTCACTGACTCTTCCTTTGAGTCCACTGCTGCGTCTGCCTTAGTTGCTAAGCTTGTCGACTTCGCTGCTCACTGTCGTCTAGACTACGCCTCTAGTCTTGTTGCTGAGTCTGAGTCCGTCTGTCCTCCGTCCGTCGGGGGTGAGTGTGCTCTTAGCACGGGTGTCCTTGAGGACAGGCAGGAGGAGTTCCAGTGTTTTGCTGCTGCTTTACCTCATCTCGTGTCCATGCTGCTTGCCCCTGAGGGAGACCCGGATGCACCAGACATCCCGACCCCGCGCTCTTACGCAGAGGCGATAGAGGGTCCCTACTCCTCTCAGTGGCAGTCAGCCATGGACGCAGAGATGGCTTCCTGGAAGTCCACAGGCACCTACGTCAACGAGGTTCCCCCACCTGGGGCGAACATCGTCAGTGGCATGTGGATTTTCAGGGTGAAGCGGCCGCCGGGTTCTCCGCCTGTCTTCAAGGCGCGTTACGTGGCTCGAGGCTTCAGTCAGCGGCAGGGAGTTAACTACTTTCAGACCTTCTCTCCTACCCCGAAGATGACCACTCTTCGGGTGCTGCTGCACATAGTCGCTCAGCGCGATTACGAGCTTCACTCTCTTGACTTCAGCACTGCTTTTCTACAGGGCAGCCTGCACGAGGAGATCTGGCTGCGCCGCCCACCTGGCTTCACTGGGTCGTTTCCTCCTGGTACCCAGTGGAGCCTCCGGCGGCCAGTCTACGGTCTCCACCAGGCACCCCGTGAGTGGCACGACACATTGAGGACTACACTTGCGGCTCTTGGGTTTGCTCCTTCTACTGCAGACCCGTCGCTGTTTCTACGCACCGACACCTCTTTGCCGCCGTTCTACATCTTCGTGTACGTCGACGACTTGGTCTTTGCTACTGCTGACACTGCTGGACTCGCCCACGTGAAGTCCGAGCTGCAGAAGAGACACACGTGCACAGACCTGGGTGAACTGCGCAGCTATCTTGGCTTGCAGATCACCCGGGACAGAGCACGGCGCACCATTACCCTGACTCAGTCACACATGGTGCGGCAGGTCCTTCGGCGCTTCGACTTCACGTACTCCTCGCCTCAGGCCACTCCTCTGTCTACTCGCCACTCGCTCTCAGCTCTGCCTTCGGATGAGTCCGTAGAGCCGAGTGGCCCGTACCCAGAGCTGGTTGGCTGCCTCATGGACCTGATGACCTGCACTCGACCTGACCTGGCATACCCTCTTAGCATCTTGGCACGCTATGTTGCTCCTGGGAGACACCGACCAGAGCACATGGCTGTAGCAAAGAGGGTGTTGCGCTACTTGTGCAGTACGTTGGGCATGGGGCTCGTGCTTGGAGGGCGGAGTCCAGTGGTCCTCACTGGTCACGCAGACGCGTCTTGGGTTGACGACCTGGCTACGCAGCGGTCGTCACAGGGTTACACCTTCAGCCTTGGTTCCGGCTCTGTTTCGTGGCGGTCTACCCGCTCGTCTTCTGTTCTCAGCTCCAGCTGTGAGGCTGAGATCTACGCAGGGGCCATGGTTGCACAGGAGTTACGCTGGCTCACCTACCTGCTGACTGACCTGGGAGAGCCGCCTCGTTCTCCTCCAGTTCTGTACGTAGACAACAAGGCCATGCTGGCCTTGTGTTGGGAGCACAGACTGGAGCACAGAACGAAGCACATTGCTCTTCGCTACTTCCTTGCTCGTGAGCTGCAGCAGCGTGGTCAGCTGCGTCTTGCTTACGTGGCCTCTCGGGCCAACACTGCTGATATCTTCACCAAGGCGCTTCAGCCTTGTGATCATTAGCGCTTCTGTACTATGTTAGGTCTTGTGCCTACTTGGCCTCACTTGCTTACCTCTTGACTTTGCTTGTACTGTGATCTATATACACCTGCACCTGCATGTTTACCTTTATATATAATCCTGCATGTGAACTGGCCTTGTGGCCTTTGAACCTGTGCTCGGAATGTGTGGTGACGTTGTGATCCACCCTGAGCTTGCTTTGCTTTGCTTTGCTTGACTGGTCTTGTGATCCCTTGTTCTCCCCCACTTTGCCTATGGGGGTGTGTCAAACTCATATGATATAGTTTAACTAGGCTGTAGTGGGGTAGACATTATAGGGTACAACACTTCTAGGTTTCCTACTTGTACCCACTTGTTTCCTAGTCATTTCATTCCTCTTTCTTCACAAAAGAAACTTCGAGTTTCACCCGTCTAAAAGTGCTATTCTTAGGACATTATGTATAAATCAAACAGTGGACAATCGAGCTAACTTTCCGATGTTGCCAAGAAATTTCGCGAGATTTTTAACGATTTCGCAAGAGTGGTCACGAAAAGTATTTCGTAAGTAACAACGTCTCGCAACACTATAGACAAAATGGCGCCACGAGACAGAAACAGTGCTGCAATTAAAACGACAAACAAAATTGACGCGTTAATAGTCCATAAATCGCAACAGTGTGATAATGCATGGGGAAGCATTTCAACTTTCGGGCGGGCGTTTCTTTCAGTGACTATTCGTGATAGCATCATGGGGCGACGAGTGACTATCCGTGATAAATCAGTGACCATCCGTGATAGGTTTGCCCGTTTCAATGACCATTCGTGATAAATAACCCTGCGACCATTTGTGTTAGAGCGCCCTGTTCAGTGACCATTTGTATAATAACCTGTCAGAAATTGTATTTCTATATATAACTGCTTATTAGCTTAGCTAGTGTAGTATCTCTTCCATTGTTGGTGGTATACCCCCCTTGCCCACCTTCCCTTGCCCTATATCTTGTTTCTCTCTCTATAGTCAAACCCCTTCTTTGTTGGCCAACCCCCCTCTCTTCCTAAAACCTAAGTTTCTCCTAAGCCTACTATCTTGACATGGTTTCGGAGCTACTACGGTCTTAGGACCTATATTTTTGAAGGATCATGGGCCCACTCGTCACGCAGCCGGATGCGCCCCGGGCGCAGCTCGTTTTGCCCCGCGGGCATCCCGTTTTACCCCGCGCGCAGCCCGTTTTTCCCGCGCGCGGCTCGTTCTGCCATCCGCACCGCCCGTCCAGCCCCGATTCTCGTCGTCTGCGGCCCCCCCACCCCCCCCTTTTCGTCGACCCGCGGCGCCCCAGCTTCCCGTCGCCGCGGCGCTCGCCGCGGCGCCCCGCGTTTCATCGCCTCGGCGTCTCGCGTCCCGTCGCCGCGGCGCCCCACGTCCCGTCGCGCCCGCTGCCCTGCTTCTCGTCGCCGCGGGCAGCAGCTGACGCCGTCCCCCCCCCCCCCCCCCCCAAACCCGCCCTCCCTTCCGCGGCTTCTGTCGTGGGGAGGGGGAGGGGGAGACGTGGGGGTGGCAGGTTTGAATCACCAGCAGGCCATCCCTCCCTTCCCTCTTCCTCTCTCCACTGCAGCACGTGTTGCTGTGGGGAGGGGGGGGGGGGAGAGAGGTTAAGGGGGGATGAGAGAGGTTAAGGGGGGACGAAAGAGAGAGTGAGAGAGAAAGGGTTTCTTCTATTCTGCTTTCTTCTCTCGTAATGTTTTCTCTTCGTTTCGTGGTTCGTTCCTTTCTCCGTCGTTTCTGGGCGTCGTCACCCAGAGTCGCGCACACCAGGCATCCACTGCGGGGGTTAAACCGCAGGCGGGCTTTTCATCGTGTGTTGTATCGGTGGGCCCAGCTGCTGCCCGGTGAAGTCTGCACTTAGGGTAGAGCGCCCCTCACTGGCTACGATATGCTTGTATGCAGTTAAGGGGGGATGTCAGAAATTGTATTTCTATATATAACTGCATCTTAGCTTAGCTAGTGTAGTATCTCTTCCATTGTTGGTGGTATACCCCCCTTGCTCACCTTCCCTTGCCCTATATCTCGTTTCTCTCTCTATAGTCAAACCCCTTCTTTGTTGGCCAACCCCCCTCTCTTCCTAAAACCTAAGTTTCTCCTAAGCCTACTATCTTGACATAACCCTATATGGAAGCCATCAGAAACGAAGGTCAAAAGCAGGGTTCTCTCAAGAATTTGAAACCAATAGTGTAGAATTGCAACAAAATCCAGAAACAAATATCTAGATAGGTAAAACAAAGATTACAACAAACCTAGAAAGAGAAAACAAGGGGAGGGGGGAGATGGGGAGAAGTGGGGGTGCGAACAGGAGAAGTCTAACCAGCCCGGACAGGGAGGGTCTGATATCACGCAGTGCTGCTATGCTACCAGATTGGTTGCTTCTATTCTTCTTGAGAACTTGCCAGCTATCCTGCCTGGCACCTGCTCAACGACCTTCCCGAGAACAGTTCACAAACTGCCTCCCTACCCTAACCTGTCTGAGAAGCACAGCAACAGCATCCAATCCCTGTCCCTCAACTCTTCGCAGATGTGGCGACTGATCTGGCTTGGCTCAAGTAGAGGAATAGGAAGGTACGGAGTTGCCGCTAGAAGGTTCTGGAGTTTAGTTGGGAGATTCTGACGTGTAGATAGGAGAATCTGACGCGTTGCTGGAAGAGTCTGAAACGTAGCTAGGAGGAATATCTGACACGTAGTTGGAAGGTCCTGAAACGTCGCTGGAAGAATCTGAAATGTCGCTTGAAGATTCTGCAACGTTGCTGGAAGATTCTGAAGCGTCGCTTGAAGGTGTTGTGGTGGTCGAAGCTGTGGTGGTGCCGGACGAAGCTGTGGTGGTGCCGGACGGGGTTGTGGTGGTGCCGGACGGGGTTGTGGTGGTGCCGGACGGGGTTGTGGTGGTGCCGGACGGGGTTGTGGTGGTGCCGGACGGGGTTGTGGTGGTGCCGGACGGGGTTGTGGTGGTGCCGGACGGGGTTGTGGTGGTGCCGGACGGGGTTGTGGTGGTGCCGGACGGGGTTGTGGTGGTGCCGGGTTTTGCTGCTGGCACACAGGTGGCACCGACTGCATTGTAGCCCGCCTTGCACTTGCACTCCATTCCGGTGCCACTGGTGCGTTTGGCACACTCGAAGTTGGCAGGGCAGCCTGTAGTGAGGCACGAGGGTTCTGCAGCAGAGGCAAGGAGAGAGAGAGGGCAGGTGAGCACATGGGTCCATCCGGACAGGGAAGCATTCAGAGAGAGCAGAGCAGGCGAGGTAGGGCGGAGGAAAAGAGAGTTGCGGCAACGAGACCATGCTGAGCAGAGCGAAACCATACGAAGCTTACTGGAAGGCAGGCATTTGTTGGTGACCGCGCTGTAGCCTTTCTTGCACGCGCACGTCACTGCCGCGCGGTCGTCTGTGGGTGGGGTGCATGTGTCAGAGCCGGCACGGCAGCGCGCATACTGACACATGTTGTCTGCAGCACAGCGTCGTGCGGACCGGGGGAAAGGGGGAAACGGGGAAGGGGGGAAAGGGGGAAGGCGAAAGAAGAGATGAGGCGCGGCAGCCTGCCACCCACTCGCGTCGTGCGCTCTGCAGCGCAGCGAACTGGACTGTGCAGTGAGAGCGCAAGGCCAGCGAGAGAGAGAGAGAGAGAGAGAGAGAGAGAGAGAGAGAGAGAGAGAGAGAGAGAGAGAGAGAGAGAGAGAGAGAGAGAGAGAGAGGGCGGCTTCTCGCGAGAGGCGGGTGCGGGAGAGGGCAAGAGGGGACGCACGCACCTATGAGGCAGAGGGCGGACCTCGGTGCACCGGAGATGCGCTTCTCACTGCACACAGGGGGAGGGAGGGCGCCGCGAGTGCAACGATCGTTGGTCAGGTGGGGGAGCAAACGAGCGGCATCAAGAAAGCATAGGAGCATGGAAGCAAGGCGAGCAAGAATGGAAGGCGCACCTCTGTTGGCCATTCGCGAAAACGTCCAACGTCTGTCCTTTGCACGCGGGATCCTGGAAGAACCGGATCGCGCGGCACATAGCCTTGCCAGACATGCTCGCCTGCTGCCACGGCACCACCACCCGCGCCTTCTGAGACGGCGACATGGCGGGAAGGTTGACACAGCGGCGCGGCGAGAATTTGAATGTGCGCCCGTTGATTGTCATCGGCGTGCCTATCGGCACTGGGACCGACACGCTCGCTGCTGCTGCTGCTTGCGACGGCTGGGGGAGACACGCTGCAAGGGAGCGGCATGTGGCATGGGAGGGGCACGGACGAAGGAGCGAGTTCGTTGGGCATCCATCGCGTGTGCGCGCTGTCGAGTGGTGCATTGAACGCATGACGGCGTGAGCACGATGGCGCATGAGAGCGCGGGGCGAGAGAGCGGAGCGAATGACGGAGCGTACCGGCGATGACGGCGACGATGGCGAGCAGCGCACGCACGGCCTTGCCATTCCCCATGCTGCTGATTCCGGCGGACGCCATTCGCTCTTCGACCTTGATCGCCACGAGCAATCCGAGAGCAGGAGTGGAGCAGGAGTGTGCAGCGGAGCAACCCGAGAGAAAGAGGTGACGAGAACGATCGGAGTAGAGCAGGAGTGTGCAGCGGAGCAACCCGAGAGAAAGAGGTGCTAGAGGAGTGATTGGTGCTAACTGGTGTAAAGCAGAAGAGGTGACGAGAACGATCGGGCACGGATGCTTAAATGCTCATCGCAGCGAGCCTACTAGCGTGCGGCGCATCATCCGCTCCACGGAGCTCCTGTGCGAGGCTGGAGGGACCTCTGTGGCGGGACGCAGCCCGCGACGGGCGCGGCAAAGCCTTGGCCATGTGCGACCGCTGCGACAGGAGCCGCTGCAGGGAACGCGTTGCTTTAGGCGCCATCGTGGGCTTCGATTGGGCGTTTCCTGGCTGTGTGCGAAAGCAAAAACGACTGGGATGAAGAATCGCGTCACAAGGATTTATTGGAGGAAAAGTCAGACACCTCACAGTAAGGGCCCATTCATTGTCATGTCACTATCTAAGGTCCGGATGAGGCGACATCGCCAAAATTCTGCCAGTCCTCTCACGAGCATTTGCGAAACCCGTAACCATACTGACGTCCGGACCCTGGCTCGGTTCGGATGGAATGGTCTGGGGGTGTTCCCACCCCTCGGACCCAAGTTCACCCCGCACAAATGGGAGTGTTGTGAGGAGGAACGCGTTGGAGTGGCTTGGTTCGTGGAGAAGTGAAGAGGAATGGAATGTTGGCAAAGAAAAGTTTAGCCCATCAACGCGGTGGAATCAGATGTGTAAAACTGAAAAACGCCTTACATATGGGCTCAATACATCATTACAAGCACTCCATAAAACACACCGGATTGTGAAGGATCACACCACGGCGAGGATTGTAACAGCTCTATCGGGTCCATCACACACCACGAAAGCCTTGCCTGCAATGCTCTCCGCCTTCTCCGCCATCTGGCGGCCATGGATTCTGACGAGCTTGAACAAGTCAACGTCCTCGCTACAATGCACGCCGAGTTCTGATCTTCTTAACAGTATCGGCTTTAACATTCGAAATGGAAGTCTGGTAATTTATGCTGACCTCGGTCTCTCCAGTTATCAGGCAACAAGCATCAGGCTCAGCCATGCATTCCCAAGGCCGTGTTACCTTCAAGTTTATTACCATGTTAATTTCAGCGTATTTTCAACTTCCATTGTCGGTGTATCTCCCACCATTATTAAAGCCCGTAGCTAAAATAGTGACCCCCCCGTTCTAGTTGGGTCCAGCTTGATTACTCAAGTTTTTTTGCATTGTTTTGGAAAGTTATAAGTTCTGTGTTTTTCGTTTTTCAGCCATCAGACGAGTTCCGAAGTGGACCACTGTTACGAGTGCAATTGAGTGATCGAACGAGAATTGCACTATCGAAGCAAGAGTAGAATGAGCGAAGGCATGAGCGAAGAATATATAGCGAAACTACAGTGGTTACGGTGCTGACTGTGGTGCTACAGTGGTGTACGCGCTGAGCAGGGACGCGAAGTAAGGAAAAGGAATTTTCCTTACACTACCCCCCCCCCCTTAAGGAGGCCCTCTTTTGTGAAAGTGCGTGTACATCCCGAAAATTTCGGCTGCGCAGATACTCGGTGAGGACGGGGTGGTTGTCGATTCTGTCCAGGGGAACCCAGTTGTCTTCGGTGGGTGTACGGTCTCTCTAGCGGATCAGGAATTCGATCCTTCGAGCTCCTCATGGGTCACGAACTCGGTGGCTCAAAATCTTTTCGGGTGTGATGATTGGCTCGGTCGGCGGTCGTGTCATGCTGGCTGGGCGGTTGCGGGGCAGTTGGCTGGTGGATGGTACGTAGGGGCGGAGCAGGCTGACGTGGAAGGACGGGCTGACGTACCAGTCAGCAGGGAGGAGGAGATGGGCGGTGACGGGTGTGATCATGTGGCTGATGCGGAATGGCCCACAATATCGAGGGCGGAGTTTTGGAGTAACGGGTAGGCGGAGGTTCTGGGTGTCGAGTAAGACTAGGTCGTCGGGCTGGTAAGTGACAGGTCGGCGGTGGCGGTTGGCGTTGCGTTTAGCAATGATGTTCGATTTTTTAATTGCGTCTGCTGCCCGGGTCCGGGCTGCTTGTAATATTTCGGCGAACTGTTGCGCTCGTGGCACTGGGTTGTCGGGATTCGGGGTCATGGGTACTGTTGGGTCTTGTCCGTAATTCAGGTAAAATGGTGACTATTGGGTCGTGGCGGAAGGCGAGTTGTTGTACGCGAACTCGATGAGTGGCAGCTGTTGTTCCCAGGTGGTTGGGTCGTCGCACGTGGCTCGGATGAGTTGCTCCCATGGTCTGATTTGTTCTTTCTGTCTGTCCGTCGGTTTTGGGGCGGTACGAAGAACTGAACTGTAGTCGCGTGCCGAACTGCTGCCCCAGGTTTCGCCAGAAGTTGCTGGTGAATTTCGTGTCTTGGTCGCTGATGATTGCTGCTGGTATCCCGTGCAGTCGAACGACGGTGGTGATGAATAGGCGAGCTGTATCTTCGGCTGTGATTTGTCAGAACTATATTGTAGGCTGTAGTGGGGTAGACAATATGGGGTACAACTCTTTTAGGTTTTCATACTTGTACCCACCTGCTTGCTAGTTCATTCATTCCTCGTTATTATTCTCACATGGTATCTGAGCAGAATCGTTCCTAGGGCCTACCGAACGTTCCGCCCTGCCCTAACTGGATATATATATATATATATATAGCTGCCCCTGCAGCCGCGCTGCCCTTGCAGCCCGCGTGCTGCCTCTGCGACCGTGCTGCCCCTGCAGCCGTGCCTGCTCCTGCAGCCCGTGGGCGCTGCCTCTGCAGCCCGCGCGCCGCCCGGTCGAGCCGCGTGTTGCCCCTGCAGCCCGTGGGCGCTGCCTCTACAGCCCGCGCACTGCCCTGTCGAGCCGCGCGTGTCGCGGCGCCCCCTGGGCACCGTCCCTGCTCGTCGCGGCACCCCCTGGGCGCCGTCCCTGCTCGTCGCGGCGCCCCCGGGGCGTCGCCCCTGCTCGTCGCGGTGCCCCCTTGGCGCCGTCCCTGCTCGTCGTGGCGCCCCCGGGGCACCGTCCCTGCTCGTCGCGGCGCCCCCTGGGCGCCGTCCTCGCCGCGGCGCCCCCTGGGCGCCGTCCTTGCTCGTCGCGGCGCCCCCGGGGCGTCGCCCCTGCTCGTCGCGGCGCCCCCTGGGCGCCGTCCCTGCTCGTCGCGGCGCCCCCTGAGCGTCGGCCCTGCTCGTCGCGGCGCCCCCTGGGCGCCGTCCCTGCTAGTCGCGGCGCCCCCGGGGCGTCGCCCCTTCTCGTCGCGGCGCCCCATGGGCGCCGTTCCTGCTCGTCGCGGCGCCCCCCCTGGGCGCCTTCCCTGCTCGTCGCGGCGCCCCCGGGGCGCCGTCCCTGCTCGTCGCGACGCCCCCTGAGCGTTGCCCCTGCTCGTCGCGGCGCCCCCTGGGCGCCGTCCCTGCTAGTCGCGGCGCCCCCGGGGCGTCGCCCCTGCTCGTCGCGGCGCCCCCTGGGCGCCGTTCCTGCTCGTCGCGGCGCCCCCTGGGCGTCGCCCCTGCTCGTCGCGGCGCCCCCCCTGGGCGCCTTCCCTGCTCGTCGCGGCGCCCCCGGGGCGCCGTCCCTGCTCGTCGCGGCGCCCCCGGGGCGTCGCCCTTGCTCGTCGCGGCGCCCCCTGGGCGCCGTCCCATCTCGTCGCGGCGCCCCCGGGGCGTCGCCCCTGCTCGTCGCGGCGCCCCCTGCAGCAGCTGCCTCGGAGCCCCTTGCAGCAGTCGCGGCCCTGCCCTGCAGCAGCTGCCGCGGAGCCCCCTGCCGCCGTCGCGGCCCCGCCCTACAGCAGCTGCCGCGGAGCCGCCTGCAACAGTCGCGGCCCCGCCCTGCAGCAGCTGCCGTGGAGCCCCCTGCTGCCGTCGCGGCCCCGCCCTGCAGCAGCTGCCGCGAAGCCCCCTGCCGCTGTTGCGGCCCCGCCCTGCAGCTGACGCGGCCCCGCCGTCGCCGCCGTCGTGCGCCTACCCTGCTCGCCCTGCAAGCGACTGCCCTTCCCGCCACTGGTGAGCACTTGCCCTACCCGCGCTTCCCGCGCGCCTGCCTTACTAGCACGCTGCCGCGCCGGCCTGCCTGCCTACTCGCCGTGCCTGCCTGCCTACCGAGCCGCGCCGCCCAGCTGAGCCGAGCCGCTCAGCGGTGCCGAGCCGCCCAGCCGAGCCGAGTCGTGCTGCCGGGCTGTGCAGCCCTGCTCTACCGAGCCACACTGCCCTGCCCGTGCTGCTACTGCTGTTTCTGCTGCTACTGCTGCTGCTACTACTACTAATGCTACTGCAGCTCCTGGCGGTGGCCAGATGCAGCTCCAGCGACGTCCGCGTGAGTCCCTCACGCCCCAGCAGCTTCGTGAGTGGTACGCTAGTTGGGGTTTTAGGGGTGGCCACGCTGCTACTGCTGCTACTGCTGTTACTGCTGCTACTGCGGCTACAACTGCTAGTGCTGCTCCTGGCGGTGGCCAGATGCAGCTCCAGCGACGTCCGCGTGAGTCCCTCACGGCCCAGCAACTTCGTGAGTGGTACGCTAGTTGGGGTTGTAGGGGTGGCCGTGGTGGGAGTCGCCCTGGGGCGGGTCGTTCGGGAGCTTCTTGTAGTGACCAGGTGCAGCTGCAGCGGCGTCTGCGCGCGGTCCTTTCGCCCCAGTAGCTTCGTGAGTGGTACGCTCAGAGTAGAGGGTCACGGAGTACTGCACGCTGCCCGTACGTCATTCGCACCGGTGCTCGGGCTGGTCAGCCTTGCGGGATGGTTGGTCATACAGAGTCTTGCTGCTTCGCCACTCTGAGCGACGCCTGGCGTACAGAGTTTGGCGACGACGCTGAGCTCCCCTCCTGGCTGGAGCTGTTTAGGCAGAGGGTAGATATCTTTGCTCTTGACTATGATGCTATCCTCACTGCCATGTATGCATTGCCTAGTAGTGCTGAGGGTGCCTGTTACCTGTGTGTGCC